TATTTACCAAATTAATCATCGGAAACACTATTTAATTGGTTTATTCAATGGACATTTTTCTCAGTGTTGGATTTATCTCAATGCTATGTAGTTTTTTAAAAACGACCCGCACTGGCCAATGTTTTTATTTAAAAAAAACGACGTTTCGGTTCCAGATTTGGACCCTTTTCAAGTAATCTGTTCACACAAATGTTAACGATCACATATCGCTCATTTGGCCAATCGTTATGTTAATAAGATATTAGTAAAAAAAATGATTGCACTCGTTGGATTTGTCTCGTAAAGAGGTCTTCAATCAACTGTCAAAATCGGGAGCAGCAGGATGGAAGAAAATTGGAAAATCAATTTGGACTTTAAAGCACTCGGAGAGAGTGTTGTTAAGGCTACTTCTCTCGCAAAATTATCTCTCTTTTACTTCCCCTCGGCGAGGCATATATTACCGCTGTAGGACGAGTGCACCTCGTAAATCACTTGTCGTTCTGCAACTCGCTAAAGTACAAAAGAGAAACAATGACTGGTTCTGCAAGAGCCATATACACGTGGATGCATATCGAGTGCTGCGTAGCTGTGTACGCGAATAACGACGCATTTGTGCTACATTTTCAACATCGAGATTGAACTTCGTCCACGTCGTTTGGGAAAATATTCCTGCGCGGCAGAAATAGCGTTTAGAAAAGTGAAATGCGCCAGGAATACGCGATCGCGAGGTAACGCGCGGCTTGCAAATAAATTCTCTTCAAAATAAATAATCTCAAAGCGTTGCATTGAATTCAACTTTCCAATTTAGCAAAACTTCCAACCAGATGTGACGGCGTATGTCCCGAGTAAATTTATATCACTAGCGTATTTACTTAACTACCCGCCAACGAGAAATTATCGCGCAAGATGGCCGTGGGCGTTAGTGGGTCACAAAAAGAAAAATACTTTTCCGGAAAGTATTCCAAACACTCGGGCGTACGTGATTTATGCGTTACATAGCGGATAGCTGTAATAAGCCGGCACATCGCGCGTAGGTGCTCGGGAGATCAAGATCAGTGTTTCGTAACGACGTACCGCAATTTCTTACGTACGGCTGCCGCTATTCCCCGGACCTGGGCGACGATATAAGTAAATAACGTATCAACGTGGCATAAACCTCATATACCTGTACTACAAACGGATACCGCGGACCGTTGCGGACACCCACGTGTAACAGGGCATCTCGTAATCTGTCGGACGCCCGGCGTAGGCAGGACGCTAGTAGCCTGCCGTCGCGATTACAGGTGCAGAAATGGTCAGGTGAAATTTCGCAGTTAACATTCCCGGCAAATCTGATAGCGTAACGTCCCATTGAGCGTTTCCCCGCATCTAAACGCTCCTCGCCTAACGACGTCGCGCGGACACGTCGAGTCGCAAGCGCGTCGAAGCGCAGAAGGCGCACGACGCGTTACACGAAACTCGTTTGCCGAGAGATTTCGCAAAATCTATTTGCCCAGCCGTGAAGCGCGAGTAAGGGGATAATAAGCAAACCGGTATATCCCATTATCAATAATTGCGAAACTTCGTTATGAGGCAATTAAAAGGCTTAGCTAGTGCGGTAAAGACGGCGCTTGGGGGTTACTGGATTTCAAATTTAGATAACAATGTGCCCAATAACGAAAGCGTATTTGCCGACACTTATCAACGTCGTATACGCATTAGAGGTGGGTAGGCGCGCGCAGGCCTCTCCTCCGCGTACCTGCGTGACTTACAAGACCCGAGTCTATATTTCAACGGGTGTTAAAGTCGCGCGGGCGCCGATTCCATCGGTGCGTTCCGGACCTCCGATCATTACGCCCGTTATAAGCTGTCACATAGCTCATCTCACACACAAGCGCTGGCTTCTTACCGATGTACGCGGGAAGCGTCTCAAATTTCTTTTCTCCTTTTCTCCGTTCGTTTCTTTCTTCTTTTTTTTTTACCGTCAACTTGCGGGGTAGAATTAATTTGAACCGCGCTTTCTTTCAATCGCCTCGAACCATCTAGATGAAAAGGCGCAGCGCTTATTGCCTCGACTAATCGTACACATATACAGAAACTTCCCCGTCTTTATCGGTTTTGTCATCTCTCCGACGTATTTCGAATCGATTCTCACATGTCTGTACACGGAAAAAAATAATTTTGCTGTGATAGCAAAATCACCGTTGCTACTGCATATTCGTAGTAATAGCAATAAAATTTAGTTGATAGAACTAATTTTACGAATTATTCGTCATTATAGCAAAATCTATTTTGTTGCGAGAATAGAACAAAATTTGCTGAGTGTATTTGTAATTACAATCACATAAATTTGCTACTGAAGCAAAATAATATATTCTTAGCAAATACATTTGCTGTCACAACGAAATCCCGATACGCCTGATTCCCTCCTGAATAGATAGCACTAGTACCACATACTGCCGCGACGTGGCGACCGCGCGTCTTTCTCGTAAGTAAAAATCGTCCCGTATTAGTATAAAAGGCGAGCCGATATGATGCGAGAGCGGGTTGTCTGGATCATGGATAGATCTCAATAACCTGAATATACTTTTGATGACTATGTGATTTAAGAGGATCCCGTAGCATGTCTGTATTACCGACAGAATTACCATTTTCGTAGTTATAACCTTTCGTCGTATTAAATTCATGGAATCAAAAATGCTTGCGTACAATGACAGTATATGCATTGATAATCCCAGGAAACTCCAATTTTATACCAAAAATGAGTAAAAATTACAAAATTCATATAATCGATCACATATAACCTAGTAGACGCGAACTGTCACTCCGTCATACTTGTGCTTCGTATAAAAGTTCTACAACTTGTACTCGCATGAAACTGAGTTTCCTAGGATTCGATGACATGTAGAATTACTGTGAAACCCTCTAAATTGGGATTAGAGGTTTAAAATAAGAGTATAGTTAGTATGAAATTTTCGCGTTTATGTATGGGTGTGATGTATCGTAGTAGTGTGTCCGTGTGCTCATGTATGCTGCGTTTCGTGTTTAGATGGCGCACACCATCAAAGGCTGGGGGATCCTCTTAACACAATTTCACACAATTTAACAATTAGTTACAAAGTGAATTTTTTAATAGGAAGCCTATTGATACCCCACCCCATATTAAAAACTGTAAGGAGCAACAAAACCCTACTAAAATGTCTGCTCGGGATAATTTGTTAATCCAGCAAATTATATCCAGCAAATTGCGATTAGTATTCGTAACAAATCTTCTTGCTGTCCATATAATAACGAACAGATTTTGCTACAATAGCAAAAAATCTGCTGTGTCAGCAAATTATTTTTCTCCGTGTACTTTCGTTCGCCAAAAAAAAAAGAAACTGTATTGTAAATTGATCGGGAAGCGTATTGTGAAGCGAGCGAGGAAGAGAACAGCTCGCGTATGAGAATCTTGAAAGGTTAAAGCGAATACGATGCTCTCTCTCTCTCTCTCTCTCTCTCGTGCGCGCGCCGTTGCGTCAGCGGCGCGCGAGATAAGACTTTCACTGAAGAGTCAAGTGTCCAGAAGCGAGAATACGAAACTCTGCGATAGCTTCTACGATCGTCTCACGAGAGCTCGATTTCCGGCCCCGTGAGATCCGCGTCAACCGCAATTTAATTCTCCCGCGGGGGAAGGGAGATTCGCGATACTCTCGGCACTCGAGAGACTCGCGACTCAAAACGAATTAATGTAATCAGGCTTAATGACGGCACGATTAATTAGACGACGTATCCTCACGAGAGGGGAATTCCACCTTTCTCTCGTGAGATTCATTTCACTATTCTCGGGCGGTCCTTCCCCTCCCGCTTCCTCTCTCGGTGCATACTTTCCTGTACGCCTTGCAATACCCGAGTCGCGCGGTACCCGAGATTCAGACTAAAACCAAAGGCAGTGCCTGCAATTACCATTTGCGAGGCCGAATCTTTATTAGTCAAACGTAAACGTAGGCGTATATTACAGGATGGAATGGTACACGCGTGGTATCGATTAAGCCAGCAATAGTGACGTGATTTACAACGCTACGGGCGTGCGCGCGCGGATAAAATCAATCTTCCCCTGGACCTCCTTTGATACTTGATAAATGCAAACTGGACTTTCAACAATCCCATAGAAGAAAAAAAAATGCATCTTCTTAGTGAAAAGAAATTGGACGTTGAAATCGCTCGCAAAACACTGGCCTGGTATTCTTTGCCGACTAAGAAGACCAAAGGCTGTTACGTAGATAAGTGAATGACGTTATCGATAACTCACCGGTAGAAGAAGTAAGGACAAGGGCGAGTGCCTCGCGGCCGCCTGCTTAAGACTGAGAAAGTGTAGTAGGGGATCCTCGGTCGCCCTCAGCTCGTCCAGTGTCCTCCTAGCCTCGCTGTACTTGTCCAAGTATTCCCAGTAAGAGTTCCAAAACGGGCCGGGGAATAAATCTCCTGTTGACAGCGTACACCGCCATAATTAAAATCTGTCTGTGCCGCGGCGTACGGAAAAAGCACCGAATTCCGTTATTAAATTACACGAGACTATCTTTCGCCGGCCCGTAAAATAATTGCGCTTGTCATATCACCCGGCGGAGGGTTTTACGTTCTCCTCCGTAATTAACAGCACCGTCCGACGCGCGCATAAACGCGAGGCAGAAAATAAAATGGTGTATCGCGTGTGCGGCCCAAGTGAGCCGTGGCGCTAAAAAGGGAAATTAAAATCGAATCGGAATTATTAACACATGCCTCCATTTTGTTCCATCCGTTTTTCGTCGACGGGGAGATACCCGCGTCTCTCCCTTTCCTTTTTTTCCCCCGTATCGGGGAAATGATTTACCTTCGAAATTAACATTTTTGCCCGCGTTCCGTTTGCCGCCGTGAAATGCGGCCTGCGCCGTGTAATTTGCAGATTCAACGCATCGCGAATTTACGGTAGTCCACTATAGGCGCTCCGCGTGCACGTTCGCGCCACGAATTGACATCGCGCAATTACACCCTCGGCGGCTGCCGCGTGTAAAAAAAATTGCGGGCTCGCACGCGTGAGTCACGGCCGGGCGGGCGTGAAAAAATGTACGCGGTATCGTGTTCCGAGATAACGCTCGAACGGCACGAATAAATTCCCCTCGCGGTGTGTATATGTACACACGGGCCGCGGCGCCGATTTACGATTCGCCGTCGTCGTCCCGCACGATAAAGGACCGGCGATCGTATTAATGTAAATTCGAAATGGCCGGTGATAGTCATTTCACGGTAATAGCGGCAGCGCGGGATGAAAAGTGCTCGGCAGCGGAGCGCGAGCTAGTCGAGAACGACCCATCCGACTCGCCTAATGCATAAAGCATGGCAAATCTCGGTCGGGGCGCACCGTTTAATTAGCGCCTTTTTATTTCACCGAGCGAGGCACAACAGCCCCTGTCGTTCGCTCCCGCCGTTTATCACGCGCGATTATCAGGAAACGTAAAGGGGGGGGGGGGAAAGAAGAGGAGAAAAGGACGAGATCCTCGCGCGATTATCGGAGGGAAGGGCGTACGGTCGCCCTTGATAAGTTCCACTTTACCAGTTTCCTAAGATGTGCAGAGTCGAGAATTGCTCGTCTCGCTCTCTCGCGGGGCATAATAAACTCGTTAAGGTCGCTTGGCATCGTAATCGATAATCGCGGAACGATAGCTGAGAAACTCGGCGTACGTGTTGCATACTCACTCGGCTTGAACGCACCGCTGTCCCAATTTTCGAGTACCCCGCGGATCTGAAAGGAAGCAAAAAGGGCGCGGTAGAATTGGCTTTTAAAATACAATGACCAACATACACGGTGAGAACGGGGGAAGGAGGGAGGGGGGAATCACGTATAATGTATTGAGAGAGGGGAGAGAGAGAGAGATATGACTTGAGTTCGAGGCGTTGCTTTTCGATTCATTATTTTCGATCTGTCGCTTCCATCACCTGTCACTTAACCCAAAGCCTTCATACGCGGCTTATGTACTTTTTGTTATTGTAAGAATGCTTTCGCGCACTTGCGATTCAACAACTGCCGCTGGACCATTGTTACTCTATGATATACGTTCGCAAAATTATTCGGGATTATTAAATTGATCAGTTTAAAGTGTGATTTATGTAGCGCTTCATTAATACTGTATTATACCAGCGGTGAAACTTATACGTGGGTCGTTTGATTAGTTTGGTAAACTTGGAAGAGTTTGACACCATTTGGTGACGGGTTGCCCGATAAGTTTCGCTCTTCAAACCACGCCAGGCCAAATTCAAGCCAGAAATGACGCGCATGGTTCGCGTTCGATAGTCATTGGACGCGAACGGCAAAATACTCATTGACGATGACTTTCTTATTTCGCGACAGTATCTTCCCATCGATCCAGATTTTCAATGTATTCTCTTTAGAGGGCAGAAAATAAAAGGGACATTTGATCGGTGCGGTTAATAAAGTAAGTTTGTCCCTACTTTGCGCGAAAGATCATTTTGCCTGAATATCCATTACGTTTCATTGAGCCCGATAATTTTCTCGGCGGTTAGGGGCGGAAATAGTTATTCCGCTGACGGCGCGGAATAACTCTCCAAGTATTCTGGCCGATCGTCAGCAACATTTGTAGCCCGATGATGTCAAAGACCCTAAACGGTTCGAGGCCAGACCACGTCCTCGAGAGGAGCGTATATTTATCTGTTGACTTATGACGCAGCATTATGCCCAATCAGGACATCGTCCGAAGAAGCATATTCGATATGAATGAGCCTGGTAATCCTCAAGACTTGCCCACACAAAGGCGGTCGGCAGGTCGTCGATAACGTTACGGTAGCTAGCAAAGCCGGTAATGTAAATTCCACGCGGCCCACATTCGCACAAGTCATTCTTAGGGCTTTAATATTAATCGTCTTACGATACAGTTATAGACAAAGCCGGGAGACAGGAGGCTCCCTCGCGGCTTCTCGATACGCGGATACGTGACTCTCTTCGCGGGCGCGATAATAAAATGGAAATAAACCGGTCCGCGGGAAGAATAGCGCGATACATCTGGCACGTAGTAATTAATTTCGCCTTAATAAACGTGCCGCGCTTCGTGAAATTGTATTACACGGTTTTGGAGCAAGAAGCACCGCGCTCGCGCGCTCGCGCTTGCGCTCGCCAGAGGAAGGATGAGCTCGTAGTTTTGCGTATGTGAGGTACGCAAAAGAGTGACGGACGGGATACACAGCGTTCCTCCAAGGCCCTTTAATGGCAAGGTCTTCCAGGCCACGCAGGCGGATGGAAATTATCGACGAGAGTCAATCAGCTTGCCTCCGAGCTACGAATACGTATCTATCGGAGGCACCGTGTAATCACAATAAAACTGCCGCCGCGCTGCCGCGCGCACCGTACGAGAGAGCTCAATTCCTAACAACCAATTTGTTCCGGTTTAATTGCTACGTCTCTACGTGCGCTATCACAGGAAAGCAGAGCTCTTCTGGCTTTAACGCAGCGGCCGGCCAACAATTATCGCGATAAATTGTACGCCGATCTCGCGAGCGTACTTGAAATTTCAAAGGCACGTAGACTGCAACGTTCTCTTTCGCACAATGCGAACTCGGGAATGGAGGCAGAGAGAAAATGCGAGGGAAGGTCGAGAGTGACTTTTCGCTCGAAATATCTTAACGCTCAATTCGAATGTGTACGAATGCTTCTTTTCAGCGTGGAAGCGCACGCGACTTTACGGAATGATTAAATCACGTACGTCACAATGCGTCAACCGCGGTGATACGTGGGAGGTTTTCAAGTAATAAATTTGAATTTATTTTACCTCCTTTGCTTCACTTTCAGATTACATAAACGTTAAATATAGAAGCGCATAACGTGACACAAATAAATTACTCTGCATACCTGATATAAATGGACCATTAGGTTAATTTGAAAATAAAAAAAAACTCAACTCGGATTAGGAAACGTCGGAATCGGGTTTGACTCAAATCAGTCGCTGGAACGGTTCAACGACCCACTCTAAAAGATTAGAAGAACGACGACATGTTGAGCCATAAAACAAGCGATAAGGTGTGTGGATGAGGCAATTTCTGAAGGGACGATCAGATCTTCGATTCGGAGGAGACTCGAGTCCCCGAAGGTAGAATTTTAAAACGTCAACGTCGTCCAACTACTCTTCCAGTTGACAGTAATTAATCATCTTTCGTTTCCGTAAAATTAATATAACATTTACACACTGAGAAAAATGTCCGATTAAATATAATCGGATAATCCAATTACATGATAACAAACGGATATGTCCGATTAAATTGTATATCCGATGAAAAATTTGATCGGTTTTTCAATCAAATTTCATCGGTAATTGCATTTCATCGGATAAATTTCATCGGATATATCCATAATTTAATCGGAAAACGTAATCGGAAAAATTAACCATCGGACATACTATTTAATTGGTTTATCCGATGAAAATTTTTCTCAGTGCATATATATGCACTGAGAAAAGTATCCGATTAAATATAATCGGATAATCCAATTACATAGTAACAAACGGATATATCCGACGAAAAATACGATCGGTAACTACATTTCATTTCGGATATATACATAATTTAATCGAAGAGGTTAATGAGAAAAATTAACCATCGGGAACACTACTTAATTGGTTTATCCGATGAAAATGTTTCGCAGCGTGTAATTACACGTTTTTCCCTAAATTGAGTGATGGCTTCATTTGACGGGCATGTCGTTGTATCATTAACTATTAATATGAAAGTTTTCATATATATATTCTGCATATAAAATAGTAATTATATTTAAGCCGCCTCAGTGCGATGCGTACAAGAGGCTCAAAGTGGCTATATGTAATATAATTAAAACCTTTGCCGCGGCGAGCGGTTCTCCCCGTGGTATAAAATGTCACATTCTACGCAACCAAGTTTTACCGATCTCTCCGGTATCGCGCGTTACGTACATCGATAAGTCACCTGGCTCGAATCGAGAGCGAGAGATGATACCCGGCGTGAAATGAAAAAGGGAATGCGCGTGCACTTGTGCGCGTGTGTAATGCATGTAGACGTGCAACGATACGTGCGCTGCATCGTCACGTCGTTCCCGGGCGTCACGATGCGATGCGTCGGCGTGTCGATGCGTTTCTTATTGTCAGATACGTATCTATGTTAAGCGCGCACGCACCGCGTGCCTCCATGCATTTATGCATCGCATTATACGCGCCGACGATAGGATAGGTACAGGGTGACCCATTCGTTTTCGAGGCTGTCGAGGGTAGAGGAAGTGTGTCTATGTCTCGCGCGGTCATGAATTATGTATACGTACGCGATCGTCATGCCGCGTCGTTTACCCTCGCCGTGAACGGCAAGGGAAAAATAATTAATAATAAAATAATTGCGCGGGACCGCGATTAATTCCGGAAATCGCGTCAAGTTCGACGTAAACGCCGCGTTAAATATCGCGACCGCGCGAGCGCGGTCCGGTTACAAAGCTGCGCAAAATAACGATTAGACGATCAGGCAAATTAATCGGCTGTGAAATTATTAATTAAACGGGCGTCCAGGAAGGAACGCGCGCGTTTCGTTCGACCGCGATCTCGTATACGGGGTGTACGGCGCGAGCCGCGATCTTGATCGCGGCGACGAGACCCGAGATGAATCCGAGATCGAGTCCCTTCCCCGCCACGAGCCGGCGTCTCGCGGGGACCGAGACTCGTGTCGAACCGCGAATCTCGACTCGCGAAAGTGAGGCTGCCCTAAAATTGAAGCGGCGAGACGCGGAGCACCGTGTATGAGCGGCCCGAGCCGACGGGGGCCGCGCGGCTCTTCTATCCCCTGAATAGTGATGGACGTTCGATTATCGATAATCTCGGCCGGCATGGATATTACGACGGACACCGTGGCCAATTTTTCGCTCGCGCTGCTTTTCTCCGTCGCGCGGATACGCAGATGCGCATTCCTCGGAGGCGGTTTTAATTATACGTCGCACGCGCACGCCCGTCCCTTCGGACCTGCCGCCCATCTAGGACGGCGACGAGTATGCGAGCGGAGGGCGTACCCAAAAAAAGCAGGTCGAATCTCCGCGCGTTTATTAGGGACCTACTATGCGTATATATGTATGCGTTTATCCCACTATTACTTTACAGTCTCGCCAGGACTAGTCTCGTATTCTCTCCTCTCTCCCCCCCCCCCCCGTCATTTCCTCCTCTCTTTTGCCCCGAATGATTGACAATCGATAAACGAGATCACCTGCACCTGCGCCATCGGTCCTTTCTATAGTCGTCGGATAAACTAATTCAACAGTGTGCCCGGTGGTTAATTTTTCCGACTACGTTTTCCGATTAAATTATGGACACATCCGGTGAAATTTGATTGAAAAACCGATCGCATTTTCCATCGGATATATCCGTTTTGTTGTTACGTAATTGGATTACGCGACTATATTTAATCGGGCATTTTTCTCAGTGTTTATTTATGCTACTTAACCGTTTCGTCCCGATATCTCACCGGAGCAATTAAACACTGTACGTGCTGTTAAGACGATAAACTGCTCTCTTCCCGTTAGCAGCATGATGAAAGAATAGCGAGCTATAATCAGGTTACGGTAAATCATTTTTGTCGTCTTCAGTTGTCACTCTCTGCTAATGAAAAGACATAACTTGTCGATCGCAACATATTATTAATATTTAACGCGCCGATAAAACCTAGTCATTGCCGAGTGACACGACGCCGTAATTTCATAGAATCGAGTTTGCCGAGGCACGACAGTTCGTA